ATCAGTCCTGAGTGATTTTATCATCATCTGAAAATTTCAAAGTATACATATCCTGTGATTTTAAAATTCCACTTTTATGTATGTGTACACCCAGAGCAGGGTTGTCAGACTTGGTGTGTACCAGAATGACACATCAAGCAAGAAAGAACACAGAGGTGACAAGCTGGTTGAAGGATAGAACCTGGCCTTGGTAAAGTGCCCCAAGTGATTCTGTTACCTACCAAAGTTTGCAGAGACACTGACAAACTATAGACTAAAGACAAAATCCAGCTGGATGCCAGTGGCTTATTCCTGTAATCCTAGCTACTCATGGGCAGAGATCAGGAGGATCTCAGTTCAGAGCCTGCCCTGGGCAAATAGTTTGCCAGACCCTATCTCAAAAATACTCAACATAAAAAAGGGCTGGCAAAACAGTGTGACTGGTAGAGTGCCTCCCTAGCAAGCCTGAGGCCCTGAGCTCAAATCCCAGTACCACCAAAACCAAAAAACCCAGCCACTTCCTCTTTTTGTAAACCAAGATTTCTTAGAATGTATCCCACCTTCCTTGGGGTATTGCCTGTGGCTTCTTTCCCACTACTACAGCAGGGTTCAATAGCTATAACAGAGATCAGAAGTCTTATGCTTCAAATCTGAAAATCTAGTCTATTTATCTAGCCCTCCAAAGGAAAATCTGCCAAGTCCCAAAGGAACACTTTGTATCTGGAAACCTCTGTAAGGATGCTCACTGTGACAATGCTTGCCCCAATGAAAATTTTGAAATTCTTCAGCGTACAGTAAAATGAGATATATACATATGGTGGAATATTATACAACAGATGAAATTTGCTGTGTCTTCATGTGTTACTATGGAAACACAAAGGGCTATGTAGAATGTACAGTGTGACACTTTTCATATTCATTTTAGACACATAATACTTTTAGAAAGGTATTAAAATAAACTGGAATGATTTGCACAAGTCTATGATGATACTTTCCTATGAAAAGCAAAAGGGAAGGAGACAGGGAGGAGAACAAAAGGGACCATAACTCTGTTTACAAATTACTTTTGTTAAAATATTTGAAGTAAACAAATGCGAATGTTCTAAATACTTGTTAATTCTAATGTGTACTGTTGTTTTCATATTATTCTCCATGGAGCATGTTTTATCCAAAATTAAAGCAAAAATAACCTAAAATGTTTAATTATAGAGAAAAGTAATTGAAAATAGATAATCCAATGCAATGGAATATAAGTCTTTTATTAAAATGTACATGAAGACCTGGGTGTGGTGGCTCATGCCTATAATCCTAGCCAGTCAGGAGGTAGAGACCAAAAAAATTGTGGCTTGAGGCCGTAACAGGCAAAATGTTCATTAGACCCCATCTCAACCAATTGAAAAAAATGGGTATGTTGGGGAGTACCTATCATTGCAGCCACACAGGAAGTGTAAAGAGGAGGATTGAGGTGCAGGCTGGCTAGGACCCTATTTGAAATACAACTAAAGCAAAAAAGTGCTAGGGGCATTGCTCAAGTGGTAAAGAGTCTGCCTATCAAGTGCAAGGCCCTCAGTTCAAACCCCAGTACCACCAAAAAAATAAAAAATGTACATGAAGGAAACAAAAGCTGATTTAATTGCCTTCATTAGCATGGGATACAAAATTGCCCATGTAGTAAGATTATAATTCTATTTAAAATGTCAACAACTACCACAAAAATTAAATGAAATCTGTTTTATTCTTACTTTTTTGGCTGATTAATTTATTGGTTTGGTTTTTAAAATCAATACATGCATACAAAAATTACTAAAATAATGAACCGTCACCAGTACGTACTGTTTACTTTTGTGATTTCATTTTTTTCTTTATTTTTTCAAATAATATCAAATGAATACATAATACTTTAAAATGAAATGTGTGTCATTTTAAAAGACCTTGTGTGACAAAGCTAACTGCAAACCTGGATCCATTCTCCTTCTCTTCCTACTTATGGTCAGAAAACCAGTACATTTTCAGTCTGTCATACACAAAGATAAGCATCACTGATCTAAGAGACACTGCTGGGTGCAGCACATATACTGGTCAAAATTAGTATCTATACCTTTTGTCATCCACACGCAAGCCTACACTTTGAAGTTACTCAAAAAAGTAACTGACATCAATTTCACAAGTATGTCTGCATAGACTGCTCTTAAAGACTGAATGACCCACAATAATGACAGAGTCAGAAATGTATAAAGTATGTAAATTCTACTCTATGCCACAAAAACAATAAACTTAAGCCCTTTTCTCTACCGACTTAAAGGGAAACTTAAAACTATGTTCATGACCGAATTTCAAATACTGTTATGTCAAAGATCAAAACTTGGTATATCTTTTGTCCTTAGAAATGAGAGATATCTTGAGTGGATACAGGATCTCAGTACTCTTTGCTAAGGAGATGGATAGATACTTCTATGATAGTCCACTAGCTAGATTCCTAATCCCTGCTGCTCAGAAAACCATTCCTGAACCAGTTGTGATTTTTAGACCCTTTCCTACATTTGGCTTCAGGTTTCTTTTTTATTTCTTTTTCTTTTTTTTTTTTTTTTAAAAAAAAAAACCTCAACAAGAACAAAACAGAAAAAAGGATAAAGGAGTCCAAATGGTAGGCCTATCTTCTCTAAGGTTCTAGCAGACTTGCCTATTTCAGACAAAGGTATGTTTCCATTCAAAATCTCACCTCTTTCCAGTGTGCATGTGAATCACAATTCAACAGTTTTTGCTTGTGAATTTCACTCCCTTTACCTTTCTGTCTTCAATTCCCCCAGCAGGCTCTGTGCGTCAAATAAACCTCTCCAAATAGAAAAAAAAAAAAAAAAGAAAGAAAACCATTCCTGCATTTCAATGTTTAAGAAAACCTAAATATTTGTACAGGGCATTTGCCCAGAGAATACAGAGGACAATTTCCACTTATGCTAAATTTTCATTCTCTTTCTGCTTGGTCTGTATTTCCACCTTGGTTGTTCTATTATTTCCTCAGTTTTTTTTTTTTTTTTTTTTTTTTACTGAAGAGAAATATAATTCTCTTCCTCTGGATCTAAACCTGTGAGAGAACCACACTTTATTAAAAAATAACACAAATCTACCAAGAAAAATAATTTTTGTCAACATGAATGTGTTACAGAGTCTGTCTCAGGTAGCAGCTGGAAAACCAACTAATTTATTCTTAAATATACTTTGAAGTACTTTACCATGTCATATCAGCAGGAGGTTATTCATACCCAATTTCTTTAGGACTGGGGCTGGGTTGTCAAGAAGCAGGTAGCACGAATATTTTATATTCTTTAGGGAGTATTTTATACTTCATATTCTACAAGTAGCATTGACATCCATCTGCAATTTAGAAAAGGCATGACAGCTGGGTAGTGGCGGTCACACCTGTCATCCTAACTACTTGGGAGGCTGATATTGAGAGGATGGCGGATCAATGCCAGCCCAGGCTAATACTTCCCACGACCCCATTTCCAGTTGGAGCAAAATGGATTGGAGGTCCATTTTGGTAGAAAGCCTGCTTTGCAAGTGCAAAGCCCTGAGTACAAACCTTAGTTCCACAAAAAAGAAAAAAAAAGAAAGAAAGAAAAGAAAAGGGGAAGGGAGAGGAGGGGAAGGAAGGGGGCGGGGAGGGGAGGAGAGAAAAGAAAAGTAAAGCCAAAAAAGAAAAAAAAAAAAGGCACTACACTCAAAGCAGCTTGAGCAGCAATTTCTCAGTGCCACAAGAGGGGGCTATGACTCTATTGCAGAGGGTAAGGAAATCCTACAGTTTTCTAGTTTAAAAAAAAAATTAATTATCCTGGTCTTCCAAGACATAGAAATATGAGTATTTCTGGCTTGAAAATAACAGAAAGAGACTTGTTTCTCAATTCATTATTAGCAAAAATGCAAAGGATTACACTTATTCAAAGAAAAATATCCATAAGTGCTCTAGTCCTCAGGAGCCCTGTGACTATATCAACCTAGTGCTCTACCAATGGCTATTCAAAAACTATCTGCTGTTATTTCAATATAACAAGCAATACAGTATAGCACAGTGAAATGAGTACAGGTTTTTTTAGGGGGAGAAAATTTGGCTCCAAGCTTACAGACTGTGTAGACCTGAGCAAATCCCTTCATCTTTTTAAGCTTAGACACATACATTAAAGAAAATACTAACCTTTATCTCATGGGGGTGCTGTAAAGCATAAGGGACATAAAATTAATTTACATACTATATATATTTATTAAAGACAAATTATTGCCATTGTAATGTAAATCCTACAAATTCAGCTGAGTATTGTATTTTCATTTTCAAAAATGTACTTTAGCTTTTCACAAGTTCTCCATGCTTTTTCTGATATTTTGAAATAAAAATACAGCAAGTGTTCTAAGAAAAAGGCTATTTCTAAGCTTGCTCTGGGCTCAACATAAGTTGTGCTTTGGGCTTTCTCTGTATCTTAAGGGCAAATCTGAATGACTAAAAGACCAATGGATGTGGCATATAAAGTATAAAACATAAATTCAAGTAATAAACTCCCACAAATGGGAAAGAAATAACTAAGGACAACCAGGTGAAAAAGCAGCTGGGTCAGCACAAGGTTCTAGGCTCACTATAGAGTTTAATTTCATGGGTTCTCTGTTAGGTTGTATACTATTTTATATAATTATTTATGTATGTGCACACATGTAGATGTATATATGTAAGTGTGTGTACGCATGTGTATGGAAGGAATAGACACATTCTGATTTCCAGTCAGCCTGACAGAACAGTGAGATTCCTTTCTTCCATTTTGTTTTACCTTCACCAGAATCCCTGCTCAACTTTGTAAGAGGGAGATTATGTTGATGGCTTTGTTCCTCATTACTGGATTCCTTGAATACCAGGAAACAGCTCAACTAACAAAATATTTTATTTGGATTTTGCCAGTCTTTAAACCTTTGTTTAGAATCTGGGAAAGATGTACATAATTTCCCTAGTTATTCCTTTTGTTCAACCATCCTTTACTTACCACTGGCATTCGTTCATAGACACGAATAGAAGATAGTCTGTCTACAACAAAGCAAATATGAGCAATTGATATTTCATCAGTTTCAACTCAACTTATAAGACATACATATTATTGCTTTTGTACCTGAAGGATTCCCACGGAATTTTTCCATTTTCTCTTCAAGGGATATAATTTGCTTTTCTAGTTGATCATTCAGCTCGAGTTGGGTCTCATAACGGGTTTTCCATTCACCACCTGAGTGGAAAGGGGGAAAAATCAAGATCACTTGATTTTTTTTTCATAAAAAAATCAAGATCATTTTTAATGAATAAATGAAAGATGGCTTTTATTAAAATAACACAAACCAACTCAATCTTACTGTGTTTCTCTACTTGACATTATTAGCGATACAGATAAAACTACAAGGAAATAATGTTAATACCTTAACATTATTCTATTAGTTATGTCAGATTGCAGACCCACCCTCAGGTTACCATATGTCATAAGTCAGGTTACTCACTACGACTATCATACTTGCTTTTTTTCCTTATTCTTCACCTCTTTTATTCTTTACCTCCTTAGGAAGTCCTCATTAGAAGAAATAGCAGAAACATGTTTCTTTACTTGGAACTAAAAATATTCACATATAACACCCTAAAGAGGAACAACCTCCCATCCGATGTCATGTTTGCTACCTCCATCTCCTTTTTCTTTTTTTTTTGGTGGTATTGGAGTTTGAATTCAGGGTCTTGGGCATTCTAGGCAAATGCTCTACCACTTAAGTCATGCCTCCAGCCCCACTTTTTTTTTGGAAAAAGATTTCTGAACTCTGTTTAATAATTACCACTTATGTGTTTGTTACATGTAAATCACAAGATGCTTCACATGTTAACTAATTTAGTCCTCATTTTTAAAAAGTTTATTATCCATTTTACAAATGAGGAAACTAAGGCTCAGAGATGTCAAATAGCATTCTTAAGATGATAGATGAAGAGCTATTAAAGGAGGAAATGGAGTTTTATACCCAGTTTTACCTTACTTAACTGATAAATAATACCATGTACATATAGCCATCTCTTCAGGCATTGTTCTCTTTAGCTGGTTTCTTTCACTAAAATCCTTGGGATAATAAGGCCAAAGCATTTATCTTATTGTTGGGAATGGCATGGGGGAGTAGGATGCAGACTAGAATTAAAAGGTCTTTGTCCAGCTTCAAGGCCCAAAACCTTGAAAGTCAGACTGTATGAAGAAAAAAAGTCAGGCGCCAGTAGTTCACACCTACAATCCTAGCTACTCAAGAGGCAGAGATCAGGATGATTGCAGTTCAAAGCCAGCCTGGGCAAATAGTCCGTGGGACCCTATCTCGAAAAAAACTTCACAAAAATGGGGCTGGTGGAGAGGCTCAAGGTGAAGGCCCTGAGTTCAAGCCCCAGTACCACAAAAAAAAAAAAAGAAAGAAAGAAAGAAAAAGAAAAAAAAGCCAGCTTATTTTTAAACTTTAAATGGTCTTTACAAGACCGAGCTAAGTTCTGCTACGTAATGGTCAATGGAAGAGTCTAGGGGAGAATAATAGCACATACCACTGCCAACCTCCTTAACCCAGACACAGGCTTCCTTTATACCTTTATTTACTAGGCAAATGTGGGTTGACCAAAGTAAGTGCCTAACCACACTTCCAAACTGAAACTGAAAGTAATTAATCCAAATGCTTTAGGGAAGGAAAATAAAATAAAGCCCTAAAAACTGACCATTTTTCCAATAGGAACCACTGAGCCCAGATGGAATTCTCTTGATAATTGGTTAGCTGAAGTCTCTCTTTGTCATTCTACCTCATTTCCCATGACATTCAAAGCAAGAATGGATACCAAAAAAATAAATAATAGTTTATTTTTGACATGAGTATAGTTTATAAATTTGCCTCTATTTTACTTTAAAATATTGACCTAAAGATCATCAAATTTGGGTAAGCCTAATAATAAACTACAATGTATTAATGAGGCAAACTAGAAATAGGGAAAGAAGCCTACCAGGGGGCTCCACCCCCCTCAGAAAAAGGTCACCCTCATGCTTAATTCCTCCTTGTCCTCACCCAGAATTCTCCTCCAACATCCCCTTAGTTGCAAATTCCTTTGCAGATGTAAGTTTCCCAAAAGACAGGGAAATCTCTTGGCTGGCTCACGCTGAAAAATTCCCATTAAAGGGGAATTTGTCCTCAACCTGACCTCAGGTAAAGCCCTCTACTTAAGACCTTATGAATATTAGTCACATCTCACATTTCAAACATACAGTTAAAAACTTGGGAATCAGCCTAAGTGTATATGCAGAATGTCTCATATCAAGACTTTATCAATCAAACCTGTCAATCATCCTAGTCCTTCCTGCAAAGACTGTCTAGATTGCTCCCCCCTCCCCAATTTGCCCTTACAACTTATAAATTGACCTTTGAACAAAGATCAATCAGGGCTCTGATTCATCTGGCCAGAGCCCTCTGCTCTTTCTTCTGCAGTACCCATACTTTCCTTTTCCTTTCAATAAAAGTTTGCTACTGCTTTGCAATCTGTCCAATGCTTTGTTCTCAAACACAAGGACCTGAGATCTTCTTGATACTGGAGTGTTGTTTCTGAGTTCATGTCCTGGTGTAGTTAATGACTGAAGATGCCAGACCAGGAGTTAAAGCAAGCACAAAGTTTACTGAAAGGATAGCAAAGCATCCTGAAGGATGGGACTTAGTGAAAGAGCTAAGTCAAAGAATGGCTGAAGTCTAGGAGATGATATAGGGCAATAACAAACTTATGTCCAACTATTTTACTTTGTAGCCACATCTATAATTAGCTGCTTAATTAACTTTTTATCAACCTCATCCTTATGGGACTGGGCATTCCAGGAGGCCCTTGTTAGTCCATCCTGTCCTTGAGACCTGCCATATACATTTTAGGACCACCACTCATTATTTTGGTGATAACCCCTTTTTGTTTATCTCGGGAAACTTTGCTGTGTTACTTTCCTTTAGGGGTCTATATTTCATCTCTTTAGATGTTTGTCTTTAAGAATGTTTGTCTCCCTTATCTAGGAGAAAGACCACTGTACTTTATTATCTGTTCTCATGTCTCCTTAGATATTTGCTTTTAAGGGTGTCTTCCTGTCTCCTTTATCTAAGACAAAGTTACTTTGGTCTTTTTTTTTTTTTTTTTAACAATCCCAGAGCCATTTCTGTCATTTATTCTCCTTCACAGTGAGAGTCCTCTTTTGGAAAGGTCTTAATCCTTTTAAAAGGGAGGCACACTCATGGCCAAATCACTTCTTAAAAGCCTCAACCTCTAATATGATCGATAGATCATATTAGCAACACCTGAATTGTGGGACATAATAAACCATGGCACCCTGCATGGACTTTAATAATTCAGTTGTGTTTATATTGTTCAATACATTTGTAATGATTACAGTCATGAAGTTTTGTTAAACTGAAGATAAAAAAGATGAAAATGTTTTTAACATGGAAAGGAAAAAACCTAACATGGCACTCTAGCAGGCACTAGAGATACAAAAATAAAAATCAGATACAGCCCTTGAGCAGCAGGACTAGTCAGGAGGAAAAGACAGCTGCAACATTTGAGAACATTCTTGGTTAAGTGGGTGCTATGGAACACATGGTACATCCAGTCTGAAAGAAAATTAAGGATAAGAAATCAAGACTGAAGGCAAGGAAATGCTTCTTGGGGGAAATGACACCTGACCCAATCCAGAGACGGTTAAAAAAAAGATATTCAAGCAGTGACACCAGCAAGGACAAAAAGCCAACATGCCCAAAATAGGAGGAGACATATTGGGAGTAAAGTTCTCCCAATTTTCTGGTGATTTCAGGATGAAATTTAAAAATCCCCAAAATAGCTTAGTGAGTTTGTCACCCCTCCTCTTAGTAGCATATGTATGTGATTTGGATCAAGTTGTTTTCTTTTTGTGCCCTCACTTTTTCACATATAAAATAAGGATAAAGTTCCTAGCTTCAGGATAATGGGAGGATTTATTAAATATGTAAAATACTTAGGGCACTTCAGGTTATGCAGAAAATGCTATGAAAGTTAGTTGTTATTGATACTATTTTTATCACTATGATCACATAAGAAATTTGTCTCAGAAGTGCTTCCCAAAGAGGCAGCACTGTACTACTACAAGTAATGTATAAGGTGCCTGTTTCTCTGTCTTTCCTTTTAATCTCTACTTCTTTGATAGGCAACAAATTGTATGTGTTTCAATTCAGATTTTTTTTTGGCCAAAAGACAATTTGACTTTTTCATACTCATGAGTTGCCTCTTTAAGTCCTATTCATATTTGTTTTCCAGTTGAATTGCAAAGAATACAAATGTAGTGGAAACAGACCTTGTGTCCATCATCTGGACTACTAATACTTTTCCTAGTTGGCTGTATGATTTCTCATATATGCCTTTTTTTCTCTTAAAGGAAAGTTAATTTTTCTGAAGTCATACATAATTTCTACAGGGATTTATTACTCTTAAACCAGGAAAAGATGTCTTTATTCATTTACATTTTTTGCTGATGTTATATTTAACTATAAATTGATTTTCAAATGAACTATAAATTCACTACTTAACTAAAATTCATTTAGCTCCCTTAAATTCCAATAAAACATTACTGGCAATTAGCTCCTTTGCTCGGAAATCTTTCCCAAATGGGACAGGCAGGTTAACGTTATTTCCTTGGTAGAGAGGAGAGAGTAATAGTAAAGTGAAAGCTTTGTTACTGTTATGGACTGAATGTTTATGTGGCCCTCAAAATTCATATGCTTAAGGCCTATCCCTCAATGACTGTATTTGGAGGTAGGACCTATGAGAAGGTGATAAAAGGGTTAGGTCATAACACTGGGGCCTTTATTCTGTAGGATTAGTATCCTTATAAGAAGAGATACAAGAAAGCTAACTTGCTCTGATCTCTCTGTCTCTTAATCTCTCTGCCTGGTGAGGACACAGTGAGAAGGCAGTTGTCTATAAGGTAGAAAGGAGGGCCCACCAGCAACTAAATCATCCAGTACTTTGGTCTTGGACTTGCCAGTTCCCAGAACTGTGAGCAAATGAATTTCTGTTTAACTCACTGAGTGTGTGGTATTTTGTTATGGAAGCCTGCATTGATCATTTGGTACTTTCTCATTTCAGTGTATGGAGCAGGCTTTGTTTGAAATAATCCATTCCCTAAAATCATAAAGAAAAATAGTCTTCCCCTGTTTTTATAAATATCTGAAA